GAAAACCTCCAAGTAATGATTTCAAACCGATTTTAGCACTTTTCAAAAATTTTGGTACCACATTATATACATTTTTTGAAAATTAGCCGCCAATTCGTGTTTTTTTGAAAAAAATTGTTTATAACTTTTTTCATGTTTATAACAAACAAATTATAACCACAGTATCTGAAAGAGCGATACACATTTAGAAATGTTATATGCAATTTTTTTCTGATAGTATTTTCGTATCAAGCAGAATGATCAAAGTCAATGGTAATTTTTCGTCCGCTTGGGCGTTAATGAGATAATTTTTATTTAGTTTTATTTAAATATGAGTTTAGAATCATTAGCGCACGATTTCAAATACGTTTTGATCTACTGCGCATCGCCAAATTACAGTTTCTCATGACCAAAATTAGTCAGAATCCCTTACGGAAATTTCATTTACGTTTTCATTTACTGCGCAATTCTATAATCATAGTTATTTATCATCAAAATTAATTAAAATCGATTGCGCAGCTTTAGTGTAAAAAATACTGCTCTTCTAATGAATTTAGATCTACTGCGCATTTTTGGAATCAATGTTCATCTACAACTTTTACATAATTTGAGATCTATTGCGTAGGTTTAGTATAAAAATGATTAGTGACACTGTCCCGTAGTTGAGATCTACTGCGCATCCTCTGCAACAATAAGGACCTACTGCTCAAAATTATAATCCATGGGGATTTTAGATCATTTTTATTGTTAATATTTCTTACAATGTGCATATAATTGCGCATGATTAAAATGAATTGGGATTTATTGTGCAGCTTTAATAACAATCGGGTTTTAATTTGCAGATAAGAAATAATTCAATTTCTATTTCTCACTTTTTGAATTTTTAGAAACTATGAATACAACCTTAATACTCTTTGTAATGATCTGAGATCTATTGCGCAGCTTTTGAAATTTCCTCGTTTCGTTATTAGAGTCAGGATCTAACGCGCAATTTTATAATAAAAGATCTATTTCTCAATTTCCGAAATGCAAATTATTCCGTTGTATTATAATGCGGATCTACTGCGCAATTTTATAAAAAGATTTGCGTTCCTTGCGCAGCTTTTATAATGGAAATTATTACTTGCGTTGTTTAAGAGTTAGGATCTAGTGCGCAGGCTTATAACAAATTAGGATCTACTGCGCAGCTTTATTACTAGCACTATAAATCTTTAGCTAAATCCAAGAGTGCTGAAATAAATGAAGATTTATACTGTAACTTTAACATCAATGATAATCTAATAAATTTATTTTGATATGTGTTAAAAAAGAATTAGTTCCAATCTAATCAACAAGTCAACACAGCTTTAATATTATTTATTAAACATAAATTATTGTCACAGCAAATGAAGCATTTCTTTATCGTTCTATACACACTGATTTTCTAGCTCATACATATAATATTTGTAATCCAGCTGTGATTAATACTAGACGCATTCAACGTCCTATGAATATTACCGTTTGTCGGTTAACTGCGGAAATTAGTCGCGTCTGAAATGCCTTAGCGCTGTCGTGTTGTAGAATGGACATCCGTGTCTCTTCCCATGTAATTTTGCGTATGTTAATGCGAGCGGTATGAGATGTGTCCTCGGAGCCAACGTAGTATAACGAATCGCGTCCTTACGAGACCGGTATCCACGCTAATTTTCTAAGCACGCCAGAGTGCAAAGTCTTGCCTATAAAATTTGTAGAAGGCATGTCACATGAATCGAAATTAGTTTCCGGATGTCAATAACAGATTTGTTAAACGACATGTTGTTGTCATTTCAACTTGTCAATATTGATGTTTTTTGAAAAAAAAATTGATAGTTTTATTATAGTAAAAGTCTTTAAAGTCCGAGTGGTTTTAATAATATGACAGAAAAACGAAGACATTCAGTCAAAGATTCGTTTAATGTTACTAAAACTAATGATTATAATGCACACCTGTCAATGTATATGTTAGGCTCAATGTTAGGTTCAAAAGCCGAAAACGGACAATGGACGGAAAAATAAGCCAAACCTAGTTTTGGCAACTGCTGTTCAACCAAAACTAGTTTTAGCCGGTCCATTTCGACCATTGGGTTTTAAAATGCTCAAAAGTAGAATTAGCATACTGCACTGACCAAAACTATAAGTGTAGCATTTTTGACCAGGACAAAACCCGTTGTATTAAATATTTGGTTTGGTGCAGCACGTCATCTCCCTCTTTTCTTTCTCTGTCGTTTCATAGCTTTATGATTCAAAGACTTTGTCTTTGTAATACGCATCTATTATTTATTTTAATTAGTAGATATTCAGCAGTTGTATCAATCACTATAAAATGACAAATATATAAGTGGTTGTCCACAAAAAATTGGATTAGGAGATTCGCCATTGTCAGAAGAAGTTTACACTTCTATTGAAACCGAAGAAGAGCTTGAGCTGTTACTTAACACTGAAAACATTGAAGATCAGGAATTAGAAAATGTAAAATATGACAACGTCATTGACAACGATAAAGATTCACCAGTTGTTCACAAATGTCATCTTTGTGGACTTGAAATCCATGATCTTTCCGGAGGCAATGGCGAAAGAGATGACCAACCTTTTGGGAAATCTGCTTAAAGATACCTTGGATTCCAAAATCCATATTTATGTGCAGTTGGTATGGAACATAATTCGTTCCAATATGGCCCTATCCCTGGCATCGATGACACCGGACGAGTATTATTCTTTTCTTAATTGGGCAATAGATAAAATCAATTTTCATGTGTTCCAATTTCTCTAGACTGTCCGCTTCTTCTGGGTTGGTGACCACAACCGACAGCTTCATACCACCCACTTTTATTGCTCTCTGGGTCAGTTTTTTTCTATTGATTTAATTTAGGCGTGTATAATAAGATTCTGTATTTGGTAGGTGAGTGACCCTATAGGAGGGTGACAAAACGTTGACAACCATATTTGAAATCTATTCCCAAAGTGTAAGACTATTTGATCAATGTTGTTTCTGTTACAAGAAGAGGAGGATCCAAATATAAATACGTCGAAATGACATGACACAATCAATCCTAAATGACTTTGGAAATACGTTAACGTAAAATGAATGTAACATGTGCAGCAGATCTCTATACTTTTGTAACTGCGCAATAGATCCAAAATGACTACAAATAGACAATAAATTTCTAGATGCTAAATCTGCGTTAAGGTTTTCTTTGATTCTTGGGAAGCATATTATTCTCGTTTGCTTTAAAACTACGAGTAATAGATAAATAATTTTAAGAGTGCGCAGTAGATCTATATTGATTTTCGTTCTGCGCAATAGATCCATAATGATTAAATGAATGTGCAGTAGGTCTGTCTTAACTTGTGATACAAATTGACATTGGAATTCCATAATTGACTTCTTAAAACAGAAAAAAAAGGTTAAAAGATCTTAATTATCTTTAAAGGTAGGCAATAGATATTTAATTAGCTTGCGCAATAGATCCTTTATGCATCTAAGCATGCGCAATAGATCCGATATGCTTCTAGACATGCGCAATAGATCATTTATGCATCTAAACATGTGCAGTAGATATAAATTGATTTTAGAGCTGCGCAATAGATCCTTAATGATTAAATAAATGCGCAGTAGATCAATTTTAATTCTTTATACAAATTGACATTGGAATTTTATAATTGACTTCTTAAAACAGAAAGAAAAAGCTGAAAAGATCTTAATTATCTCTAAAGGTAGGCAATAGATCTTTAATTAGCTTGCGCAATAGATCCGATATGCTTCTAGGCATGCGCAAAAGATCCTTTATGCATCTAAGCATGCGCAGAATATATAAATTGATTTTAGACCTGCGCAATAGATCCTTAATTATTAAATGAATGCGCAGTAGATCTATTTTAATTCTTTATACAAATTGACATTGAAATTCCATAATTAATTTCTTAAAAAAAGAAAGAAGAAGAAAAAGATCAAAAGAACCTAAATATATCTAAGGATATGCAATAGATCTTTAATTAGCTTTCAAAGTCTAAAATAGATCTCTATTGCTTCTAGAAATTCGCAGTAGATTTAATCTTTATAATTTAATATAAAATAATTATTTGTTATCGATTTATAAAGTATCTTCCGACTGAACAATATTTTTGTAAATGAAAAAATTATTGCCGATTATTTTATTATTATATAATAAAAATAGCATAAATAATGAAAATTTAATAAAAAAAAATATATTCATCGATAGTAATGAATAAAGATTAAAGGCAATAAAACAATTACTTCCCGTTATTATTTGAAGTAGAGAATAATTTTATTAGAATTCCTCAGTGGGTATGCCTATTTATGAGCGTAAGTAATTTTATAATCGTCCGATCACCTACCATGTTTTTCTGCCTCAAGAGAAAAATCCTCGAGGCTCGAAAAACTATATATACATAAGAATAGTTCGTCCCTGTTACATCGAAGATGGAAGAATTCATGAGTCCATAGGATATTTTCAAGGGTCTAACTAGGGTAGAATAGCCTGAAGGGCCAGACACCGCCGCCTTTCAACTAAAAAGAAGGCTGATCCTGGCCCTTAAAGAGGAATTTTTGCTCAACACTAAACCGTGATTCTCAATCGTCACTTTCTTTAAACCAAAACATTATTTTAAAAAATAAAAACAAACTGAGAAATATAAATGAAGGAATTTAAAAAAAAATTCTCATGAATAGAAAATCCTTGAAAAATTATTTAAAATCTTCAATGTAGAATTTAATATTCAGAGGTATTTTTTATTTATTTATTCCTTCTGATTTTTTGTCATCCTAAAGATTAAAATCACATATTTTGCAATGGAATCCTATTCACAAAAGACGATGTATCGAGCTGTATAAAAAGACAAGTGAAACGATATGGGTGCAAAGAATAAAAAAATCAAAAAAAGAAAGAAAAAAAATTCTGTTTTTTAGCATTATTTGCTGTTTTTATTTAATTTTATTATAGAACCAGGGGTCTACTTTTTTTATGTTGTCTGCGAAAGTGAATATGAGGTTTCGACCTATTCATAATGGCACAAATTGATCTGAATAATCACGCGGCCGCATCTCTGACGAATTTAATCCTCTTAAGTATCAGCCTGCTAAATCAGTAAATCTCACCAAAACTGCAAATGATTTATAGCACTGTTCAATTTATGAGTCAATGTAGTTTGCCTTCGGGGGACGATGATAATATCTGGAACGAGGAGAAATTATCATAAATAGACCATCTTTAGAGCGGGTTTTGCATTTAATATTAAAAAAACAATTTTAATTTACGATGCTGGTAAAATCACCATTTTCAGTAATAATTTTCTTCTTAGTTTCCTGTTAAATATGTTTTAGGAATAGATTTCGCCAAAGGAAATGTGTAATTTTTTAAAGAAAGAAAATTAACTGTATTGGTGATAAGAAAACGGTTGTGGAAATACTGTCGTGACTAGAAATGTGATTGCAGGTGATAAAATAAGTTCTAATGTCAAATTTCGCCTGCAGGTAACAATTGTGACTAGATGTGATAAAGTAACTGCCTGTGGCTATTAAATTACAAAAATCAACTGCAGTCGTCAGATTCGATAATTTTAAAATTTAATTCTTGACATTAAAAGGCAAGTGCAAGGAGTCGATTACGTAATTTCATTTTCACTTTCACATTCATTCTTACTTTCATTTTCACTTTCACCTTGACATATTTGTATTTTCACTTTCACCTTGACAGATTTTTATTTTCAATTTATTTTCTCTTTCATTCTCACTATGATGGATTTTCATTTTCACTTTCACAGATTTTTATTATTTCTCTTATTTTCACTTTAAAAAATTTTTATTCTCACTTAAATTTTCCTGACACTTTGACACATTTACACTTTTATTTTCACTTTTACTCTCACTTTGACGGGTTTTCATTTTCACTTTTACATTTTTACATTTCACTTTCATTTTGACATATTTTCATTTTCACTTTGATAGATTTTTATTTTCATTTTCACTTTTACTTTAACAGAATTTCATTTTTTCATGTTCATTTTTAATTGACAGAATTTTTATTTCACTTTCACTTTCATTTTTACTTTGACGTATATTTTTATTTACGTTTACTTTCACTGTGATAAATTAAAAGTGAAGACTTTTAATTAAATTTTATTTTCATTTTCAAAAAGAAAATGAGAGTCTGAAGAAAATCATCAAGGTGAAAATGAAAATTTCTCAAAGTGTAAATGAAAGTTATGAAATGTATCAAAGTGAAAGTAAAAATAAAATCCTATCAAAGTAAAAAAGAAAATATAAGGAATAAAAATTTATCAAAGTGAAAGTAGAAATAAAAGTTAAAAATAAATTTATATCAAAGTGAAAATGAAAATAAAAATAAAAGCAAAAAAATTTATTAAAGTGAAAGTAAAAATGCAAGTAAAAATAAAATTCTGGCAAAATGAAAATGAATGTAATAATCTATCAAAGCGAAAGTGAAAATAAAAGTAAAAATGAAAGTGAGAATGAAAGTGATAATGAAAGTGAAAATAGAAATGATATTACGTATAATCGACGTAATTTTGTTTTTGACTTTGAATTTTGATTCAACATTATCCTCGCTTTAGCTCTAACTATAACATCTTATTTTCACTTTGACTCTGAAAGTCAAAGTCAAAAAGTAAATATCCAAGTCAAAATTTTTTATTTTCACTTTCACTTTGAGGAAAATTTATTTACACTTTCATTTATTTTGATGGAATTTTATTTTTTCCTTTTTTACAAACACTTTGAATTGGCAATATTATATTTTTACATTCCATTTAATAAAGTTTTATTTTCACTTAATTATATTTTCATTGTTTACTTTCATTTTCACTTTGACAGATTTTTATTTTCAATTCCTGTCAAAGTGAAAGTAAAAATGAATGCAAAAATAAAAATCTATCAAAATAAGTGAAAAAATGAAAGTGAAATTGATAGTAAAAGTAAAATGTCAAAGTGTAAATGAAGGAAAGAATGAAAATTTATCAAAGTTAAAACTAGAGTGGAGTTAAAAATAAATTAAAATGAAAATAAGAGTGAAAATAACATTCTATTAAAGTGAATGTGAAAATGAATGTGAAAGTGTAAATGAAATTCTATGAAAATGAAAGTGAAATTAAAAGTGAGAACAAAAATATATCAAAATAAATGAAAAAATGAAAGTGAAATCGATAATGAATATAAAATGTCAAAGTGAAAGTGTCAGTAAAAATGGCAGTGAAAATAAAATCACAAGAAAGTTAAAAAATTTTTAAAGTACAATATTGCTAACAAATTTTGATGAATAAGTAGAATATTGATAAAAAAAAATAAAATTAATTAATTTTTTAAAATTTGCTCAATTCGCTTCAAACTTCTTACTCAAAAGTTTTCAGGATTGCTGATCACGCAAATCTAAAGATAAATTTTCAAAATTTAAAATGGTGGGTCCAATATGTCAGACATTTTTTTTAAATTGCTTAAATTCGCTTCAAACTTGTTACTCAGAGGTTTTGCTATCGACATTTTGAATTTTGAAAATCTGACTTCAGATTCGTAATCAGCGGCTCTGAAAACCCTCGAGTAACAAGTTTCAAGCTAATTTAAGCAATTTAAAAAAAATGTCTGCCATATTGGAACCGCCATTTTGAATTATGAAAATCTGGCTTCAGATTCGTAATCAGCGATTCCACAAGCCTCCCAGTAATAATTTCCAACAAAATCCAATAGCTGTGTTTCACAGGGATACAAAAGGGTTAAATAATTATACTTTTTTGGCAAATTTCGAAGTTTATAACAAAAGTTTATGATTTTGAATCGAAATTTAAACCTAATAAAGGATAACAGACTCTATCAATGTCTATTAGTCAATTTCACTATAGTACAGTGATTGTATGTAGTTACGTAAAGTAAAATAATTTTTTCTTTTAATTTTTATTAACAAAAAAGCAGTTAAAATTTAATGAAAAATAAACAGTAATTTCCTGTTGCGCAATTCAGGGAAAATTAACATTTAAAAGCCAAAAGGTTTGTTTAGGAAAGTTTTGAAAGTTCACGACTTTACTTTAATTGTCCTTTTTGAGCGTAAAAGTACAGCGGCTGTAGTTACAAGGAGGTTGTGTGTAATTATTACAATTTAACGCGGTTAACGAGACATGTAATTAGGGATTGTTTTTTTTTTAGACAGAAACAGTCGTTTAAATGAGCACCTTTCATTCTCGCTCCAACCATGTCTCCCTGTCCCGTTAAGGAGATTTGCACAAACTAGATGCCTCCCTCGCTTCCTTATTCGCAATTTCTCATCAGAAAGTGCTCAACATTGAGGAAAAAGAGAATTCAATTCAAATGCAAGTTGATTTAGACAGTCTTGGGACTTTTCCATGGAAATAAATCTACAAGAACAGGATATGAATCACTTTTATGATACTATAATAACAAGGAAAAGTATTGACGTTAATTGGCGTAGAGAACTAAATAATTATCCGTTCAAGTTAATATCCTCATACAAAATGGAGGTGATGATCGATTCAATCATTAATAAAATACGAACCTTCAGGCGACGTTTCGTCTTCCTCGTTCTTCGTTTCAGGAAACTTTTAACTCTTTTAACCTGTTATTTATCCAATTAACTTCAAAAACTACGATCCCAATTATACACTGTTTTTCTTTAGGAATAGTAAACAAAAGATAATTTATTTGTTAATGAATTGGAAGTATAACGAAAATTTCAAAGATCTGAAACAATTGACAAATTTAATTTAAGTTTAGAAACATGTGTGCGCACTTGAAGCAGATGATTTATAATAATAGAGATTGAAGGTTGAATTTTGGTAATTATGAATAATTAGATATAGACCAGATGGTATTTAGTGAATGAGTAAATTTCTTTGTCAAAATAGAAATAGATAGAAGGTAAAAATATTTTTTTAGCCTTTATATGACAATACTCTTAAAAATGCGCAATAGATCCTAAATGATTTTAAAGATGCGCAGAAGATCATATGAGACACTAGCAATAAGCAATTAATCTTATTTCATTCCAAGAAGAAGTAATAAATAATTTCGGCGAATCTCAATAGATCATAAATGGTTTTTAACATGCAAACTAGATCTTAACAGACTCTTAAAAGAACGAAATAGATAAAGATGCGCAATAGATCTCAAGTGATTATAAAGATACCTTTTAGATCACAAAACACCGACAATAGCCAAGAAGATCATATTTTATTCTGAAAGCTGACAAAAGATTTTAGAGGACTCGATGAATGATAAAAATATATAAAACACACTTACTTATTTTTTTAAAGCGTTTCTAAAATATTTATTTTACTTTAAAGTAAATTCGGATTTCTTGATTTAGTTCAGAAGACGTTGTACGCAGATGATTTTATGAATAAATTTACTGTTGGACAGAAGATTTTAAATGCTTCTAAGATATAAATCCTTAATATTTCCAAAGATGCGCAGTAGATCCTAAATTCTTCTAAGTACGCCCAATGAGTATTTACTGATTCTAAGTATATTTAAACGATTTTAAACGATTCCAAGCATGCGCGAAAAATTCTTAATGTTTGTAAGAATGCATAATGGATCTTAAATAATTCTGCTAAACTCTAAAAGAATTCTGAATAATTCTGGAAATGCGCAGTAGATCTAACTTTTTCTCAGCATGCGCAGTTTATCCTAAATATATGGCGAATTCTCAACGGATATGGAATAATTCTAGAAATGCGCAGTAGATCCAAATTGTTTCTAAGCATGCGCAATTTATCACAAATACATGGCGAATGCTTGACAGATTCTGAATAATTCTGGAAATGCGCAGTAGATCCTAAATGCTTCTAATCAGATTCTAAGCCCAATGAGTACTAAATGTTTCTAAATACATTCAATGAGTTCTAAATGATTTTACACATGCGCAATAGATTCTAAATACTTGTAAGAATGCGCAATGGATCTAATTAATTCTAGAAATGCGCAATAGATCCTAAATGCTTCTACGCATGCAGAATACTTAATATTTCTAAGTACTGTCAAAGGATTCTAAATAATTCTAGAAATGTGTAGTAGATATTAAATGCTTCTATACATGCGCAGTGGATCCTCAATAACATGCAGTCAATCACACATGTTTCTATGAACATGAGAAATTTTTATGAAATAATTTTTAATTTCCCATTCAGAAGGATTTCTGGGAAATTTGAAATTTCAAAAAAAAAATTCTTAACTTTTGTGGAAAATTGTTCGATACGAAGATTTTTAGAATTGTTCGATGTGTTCTAAATAAATTAAACTGTACTCAAAGTATTCTAATAGTTCTAGAATTGCGCAGTAGATCTTAAATGCTTCTAATCATGCGCAATGTATTCTAAATGACAAAGTTTTAGTCAGGGGATTCTAAACAAATTCGAAAAATGCGCATTCGATCCTAAATGATTCCAAGCATGCGCAATAGATCTTATATGGTTCTAAACATGTGCAATAGATCCCATATGGTTCCAAACATGCGCAATAAATCCTATATGCTTCTAACCATGCGCAATAGATCGTATATGCTTCCAAGCATGCGCAGTAGATCCGATATGTTTCTAGGAATGCACAATAGATTTATATGCTTCCAGGTATGGAATATCGCGCAATAGATCCTATATGCTTCCAAACATGCGCAGTAGATCCTAAATGCTTCTAATCATGCGCAATGTATTCTAAATGACAAAGTTTTAGTCAGGGGATTCTAAAAAATTCGAAAAATGCGCGGTAGATCCTAAGTGATTCCAAGCATGTGCAGTAGATCATAAATGCTTGCAAGCATGCGCAATAGATCTTGTATGGTTCTAAACATGCGCAATAGATCCTATATGCTTCCAAGCATGCGCAGTAGATCGGATATGCTATACGTTTTAATTAATTTATTATATAATTAAAGGTTCACCGAGCACCAAGAAGTTAAAACCATGTCATTTAATCTCTTATGTCAATGACCGACTTTCATCAAACAATTGAATTACCCCTTCTGAAAACGGAGGTAGTAGATGATCATTTAGAACTATGAATAAATCATGAACTATGAATAACAATATAATTTCTCTGTTTAGAAAGAGTAAGTGAGTGAGGGCAAACAGCCCTAAAAGGGGTAGGACAACAAATAGAAACAAGTCAATCATAGGGAGATTTTCGAGAATTGAGATCAACGTGCAATAAAATTCCATTGTGGAATACAGAAAGTAGTGGGGAGAAAGGGACCTTGAAAAGAAATATAACAGGACTTGGATAAGAACACGTTGTTTCTTGTGAACGAGTGAGGAATAAAGACAAGGACAAGGATAATAATAAGGGTTTGCTTTCACGACTAGAAAGCATACAAACAAGCACTTCCTGGACAGGTAGAAACATTCCCCTCGTAGTGGAACGCGACCGTGAGCCAATCGGGGCACACAAGGGGAACGTCGATAGAGTAAAACCGTAATCAGGGACACGCGCTAAAACTGACTTTAACTTTAAAAGGTTAAGTGCACTCTTCCTTCGACCTAAGTCGAGGGCGACAAATAGAAAACCCCATAATTGTACTCTGCGAGTTGGAGCGCAAAGAATGTTGTGTACAATGAGGGCAAATACAATCGAGTCTTATTGCTAAGTGACTTCTTAGAAGGACTGCCGGCAAAACAGGTGCTTTGAACTTATAGATACCGAGTGCAAACACACGCATATATATAAAAGAAGTGCACGCACGTTAGTAAATGACCTTGACTCTAGGTTACGAACATGCTTATTTCATGAAACATTAGCGGGAATATTATTTCATGTGCTATACCCATATAATAATGGTTTTTTCTTTCATTTCTATTTTTCTTTCTTTTATTTTGACGCTTGCCTAGCCACTGTGTCAGTATCAGACTTCTCACGAACGTCATCACGAAAAGTTCGTTCAGTTGGAAACACTCATTATCCCATCACGCAAAGGGTCACGCTTCGTGCTACAAGTCATTCTTTCAATCATTTTTCCACGAGGAAATTAACCCATTAACGAAAGTAACAGAGATTTTTGCATAAAGGAAATTTTTTTTAAAAATAAAATATAGTGATTAAAAAATGAAGAGAAAATTTGCTGGGGAATCTAAAATTGTTTGTTTACAGCTTTCAATTTAATAGCTATCTTACTGCGCATCTTTAGTGTTTGTAATGATCTATTGCGCATAGGGAAGACCGGGTTTACTTGGGTCACTTTTCACTCATTTTTGTTCAACTTAAACATTTTTGCTTTTTTTAAATCCTTATTGCTTATTGCTGTAACATCTCAGCTTCAATTTAAAAAAAAAATTTGCAATCCAGAGTGGATAATTACGAATCTGATGCCATATTTTCAAATTCCAAAATGGCGGATCCAATATGGCGGTTCAAAAATTTTGAATTTGTTGGATTTTTATACAACTTGGTGCCAAGGGATTTTCGAGGTCGATGATTACGAATCTAAGGCAAGATTTTTAAATTTCAAAATGGTGGATCCAATATGGCGGACCGAAATTTTTAAACTTGTTATATTTTTATAAAACTTAATATCTAGGTCCATTTTGCATAATAAAAATCTAACATCAGATTCGTAATCTAGATATTAGGTTTTATAAAAATTTTATTAAAAATTTCGGTCCGCCATATTGGATCCGCCATTTTGAAATTTGAAAATCTAGTCTTAGATTCATAATCATCGACCCCGAAAATCTCTAGGCACCAAGTTGTATAAAAATCCAACAAATTTAAAAATTTTGAACCGCCATATTGGATCCGCCATTTTGAAATTTGAAAATCTGGCATCAGATTCGTAATTAGCGGCCATCTGATGCCATATTTTCAAATTCCAAAATGGCGGATCCAATATGGCGGTTCAAAAATTTTGAATTTGTTGGATTTTTATACAACTTGGTGCCAAGGGATTTTCGAGGTCGATGATTACGAATCTAAGGCAAGATTTTTAAATTTCAAAATGGTGGATCCAATATGGCGGACCGAAATTTTTAAACTTGTTATATTTTTATAAAACTTAATATCTAGGTCCATTTTGCATAATAAAAATCTAACATCAGATTCGTAATCTAGATATTAGGTTTTATAAAAATTTTATTAAAAATTTCGGTCCGCCATATTGGATCCGCCATTTTGAAATTTGAAAATCTAGTCTTAGATTCATAATCATCGACCCCGAAAATCTCTAGACACCAAGTTGTATAAAAATCCAACAAATTTAAAAATTTTGAACCGCCATATTGGATCCGCCATTTTGAAATTTGAAAATCTGGCATCAGATTCGTAATTAGCGGCCCCGAAAACCCCTAGGTACCAAGTTTCATAAAATTGAAATGAAATGACTGGAAAAGTAACAAAATGTTTGAAGCCCTAAAACTACGTAACTTTATAGAGTCAAAAATTATATACATATTGCTCATATTTAAAAACAATCCGCTTCTTAAATTTTGTATGTATTTGACACATAAAAATAAGTTCGAAAAATATTCCAGAAATATGTCACTACAAAAATTCCAGTGACATTAAAAGCAAATATCAAATAATAATGAGACAAGTTGTCTAAAAATTTTTTTATCAATTCTAAATTATTATTGTTAATCATATTTAAATGAGGACATGAATTTCCAATGAATAGTTTACGTGACTTTTGTCATTTATACATTAAACATATTGGCGAAAGTTTATTGTCAACCGATATAATCTTAATGGACAAACAATAACTTGGTTAATAAGTGAGTCA